CAAACAAAGACAGTGGATGGTCACCCACTGTGTCTATGTGAGTTCAGAATGCAATAAGGATCACAATCAGCAAACCAGCCGCTCACAAGTGCACCATCACTATCTAGCCAAAGGGCAAAAGGCCACTGACCCTGTAGCAAGACACCGCACCGTTTACAGCGGACTTTCCCATGACGTACGATCCCTGTTTTGGATGCCACAAAGCACTGTGGGGACTACGATTCATGATGTGCGTCAGCTTACCAGGGAGCATAGAATTCGACGAGGGCATGCCGCTGGCCATTCACCAGCTTGTCGAAATTGTCGGGCTCTGTGAGCACAATCATCTAGTAAAACGGATGCCACTGCACTGAGAGGCGTCGCAAGACGGGCCACTTGGCTGCGGGAGCAAGGCAAGGTCCAATATACCCAGATCTTGAACTCCTGGCAGGGACGAAGTCGGATCATCAGATGCTGCTCCCGGCACAGCAGCAAGCACCGACAGCAGTGTCAAAACAACGGCCCAGTGCATGGCCGAGCCCATGGCTGAGACAACGGACCCTCGTGTCAAGGTGGTTCACGTGCGGGTCGGCGTTCCAGAGCGCGCTGGAACACTCTGGTTGGGGGTTTGTGTGGACAAGTGCATTAGCGCTACATTGGATACTTTGCGCCGATAATTCGGTTTACGGAACAACACCATGTACATCCGCAAACCCTAATGACGGTGACTAACCCCGGATCCCTTAAGATGGCACATGGATGTTGATCGGCTGGCACCCTGCCCCCAGCACGGGGCTGATTTTGTTGACAGGCGGCCCAAAGGGAGTTTCAAGGGCATCGCCCCGATCGGACACCAGGAATCCCCTTCGGTTTCGTGACCCCCGGCAACCCCTCCAACGGCGACAGCAGGCGCTGCCACCACTCGCCACGGGAGCGACTCTGCCTGCCGTGCCATGGAAACTGAAGTGCTCAGCACCCTTAAGTTTGGGGACTGCAGCCCCCAGCAGGATGGCTGCCCGTCCGACGGGATGTCGTCGGATGCGACCGTTCTGTGCATAGACTCGGACGCAGAGGATGATGCGCAGTCGCAGGACGGCTTCGGGCCCGAATTGGATTCTCGCCTCAAAGAGAAAGGCCTTCAGGGAGGGCCAGAACAGATAACGAGGTTTCAAGGGTCCCCTCTGTCACCAGCGCCATGCGTCGGCAAGGGGCTAAGGGCCATGGACAGGACCGCCATGAACGGTGGCCAGCCCAAGTTCTTCGCGAAGATGTCGGATGCGGAAGTGCTGGGGGAGACGGCGTCATTCGAAACTTTGGGAAAGATCAGCTGCGGCAGAGAGCGGGAACTCGTCGAGATTGCCGCGGGCGCGCCAGCTGCCTCTGCTCAGGGCAAGCGGGTGCTGTGCGAGGGTCCGCCTCCAGGCTTATCCTGCGCACAGAGCGAGGAAAGGGGTGGAAAATCCATGCAGAGGTGAGGCCAGCGAGCTGACGCAACGTTGGTCACCGCGGAAGGGCGCCTCTCCGCGTGGCAAGGACTGAACCTGTTTTCAGAGTGCTGCGCCAGGGCTTCTGAACTGGGGACCCGTTGCCCAGCAGTTCCCGATGTTTGGTGGTTGATCTGCTGTCGTGATCTCGGCGCCGCTTGGGTGCGAAGGTCGATGGCCGCTTCGACGTGCGAGGCGTTGGAACCGCACTACATGCGTTCAATCCTGGTGTTCACCTGAGGCGTCGCGCGGCATGCTGGTAGCTGGGGCTCCCTTGTCCCATGGGTGTCACCGCCGTTGACGTTAACGTTACCCACACGGAGATATCGACGCGTGGTCCCGTCCCGCGATCTAGGGTTTCTAGGGCTGCATCGTCGTATCCGTGGGCTGTCCACCGGAAATTGACTGTTGGTGCTGCGCGGTAGACCACTGTCCAGCCCCATAGTTAGGTCGAGCTCGCCAGCCCTAGCAATGGCTGTGTGAGACTGTTGACGAAGCAGCCGCAGAGAGGTAGAGGAAAATGTTGCCGTTTATTTTGAACCCCTTGACAGCGTCGCAGAGTCGTGTGCTTTTGGGTTGCGTCGCGGGGAGTGGCTTGGCCAGTGCGCACAGCAGTGTTGCGCCTGGATCAAGTCATGTTGACTGTGGCTGTGTTGTGGTTATGGCCTGTGACGTCTTCTTATGTCTGCAGTGACAGCGGGAAAAAGAAAAAGGGTACCAAGAACAAGAAGATTGCAAGCGCCTGGCAGCCCACAGAAGACCAGCATAAGGTTGAAAACCGGCATGCCTCTGAACTCAAATGTCAGGTACTCCACTGCTACCTCCTTGAGGCTGGACCGGGCTCTTTTTCCTTGCATTCTGCGTGGAGCAGCAAAGTGACGAGTCATATATTGCAGTATTGGCTCATCAACATGCAAATCAAAATCATTTGTTTGCTGGCAAATCTGGCCCTTTGGCTTGAATGAGCTGGGATGCTGGTAAGTCTGTCATCTACTTGCAGGGTCCTGATGCATCAAACTGCGTGGGCTTGTGATCCAGGCTGAAGCCAAGCAGCAGCCTGTCCATCAAAAGGGCAGGCGCAGAGGAAGGCGTGGAGGGCGAGGAAGGAAACAAGTTGAGACTGAAGTCCAGGAAGATGTTCCCAAGCTCGAGAAGTGCGTGCCACTTTTTCATGTGGGGCTTGAGGTCTGGTTAATAGTTGTCAGATTTTGGGATGGGCTTGGCCTGCTTACAGCTGGATGCATACTTGTGCTGATGTGCGCTGCTCCCTGTTATCTGATACAGGGGCTTGGAGGAAGAGCTTGCAGAACAGCTGGCAAATCAGGCTTCCAACGGCAGTGCATTGTCCATAGGCTTCTCAAGCGTAAGGCTCCATGTTCCTGGTGGCAATACAATGATTATTTTGAATGATCACGAATTGAGAGATGGGACAACCCCAGACGATATTTTGGACAAGATTGAGAGCAGTCTGCCATCTCCTGAAGAAACAATTAGAAGAAACCATGTGGCTGGTGCTGGCAAGAGGGCTGGTGGTGCCCCTGATGGCAGCACAGGGGCTCAAGGTGCTGCCTTTACAGAAACTTGTCACCACAAGACTACATCCAAGGGATGTGGGGCCTTCTTCCCACCTTCCCTGCTTAAAGAGATGCTGAATGAACCAGCAATGGTTAACAGCAGGCGAATGCAACGTCCAACACACAGAAGGATGCACACTGAGAGGGCCGAGAGTATGTCGTACGACCAGAAGTTGGATATCAAGGCACCTCCCTTTATGCCATTCTCTTCTTTCAGTCTCAACGACTATAGATCTGCTGGTGCTGAGTCATTTGGATCTTCTGAAGGGCAGGTGGCACTGTTGCCTGCAGAGATTCTTCCGGAGCAAGCTGAAAATAGCCAGAAGGCAAGGACAGGGACAGGGTGCTTCATGCCCTTGTACAGCCGCGATGTGATTGCGAAGAGAGAAGAACCACCAAGGGTACGCAGTGGTTGATGTGCTTGCTGTCACTGCTGGAGTTACGTTGTGTGTCCTGTATTTGGTGTGCACATTGTCCCTGTGCTTATTGCAAGCATTGGTGTGTCCTGCAGCACATAGCACGAGTGTCTTTGGCAGAGAGCCTCTCAAGTCTGGATGATGTCTCATTCTCGACAAGGAGGAATCGCCTGAAGTTTGAGATGCCCCCGCTTGAAACGCCAAAGGATGTTTGCGATGATACCCTCTTTGAAGATGAGAGTGACACTGATATTGAGAACAAGAGTGGATCTGAGGCAAGCCTTGGTTTGCTGTCATCGCCAAGGTGCCCAGTTGGGAACAATGTGGGCGCTGTTCAGGGCGACTGTGCTAGGGTAGTGGTCGGTGAGCTGTCAGCCGCAGGGAGACCAGACAATCCCCGTGATGAACTGATGCAGCTGCTGGAAGGGAGCAAATTCACGTCATTTACCAGTCCTCTTCACCTGGAGGAGACCTTGGATGGCCTGCAAGAAGAGAGGGAAGCCCGGGAAAATGCCGAGAGTCGTCTCGTCGAACTGGAAATGGAGAATCTCAAGCTGCGAGGAGGCAGTGGCAAGATTGGTGACCTGCAGTCAGAACTTTCCAAGGCACAGGAGGTTTCACGTGCGATGCAGGTGCTGCTGTTTGTTGCCCTTGCCAAGCCAGACAAACTTCGGTTCAGGCCGAAGGGCATGTTCCATGACCCCCCGAAAGTGGGCGATTGTGAAGTGGTGGCTCCTGAAGGTAAGCGGACCAAGACTGTGAAGTCGACCGAGACTGCCATTCCCAAGGACATAGCCAGGCGCAGTGTTGCTGGTGCAGACACTACGAAGAATTCTGCCAGAAAGGCAAGGTCAGTGTCCTCTTCGGATCTGAAGATGGCCGGGACCCGCCCTGGCCACGCCAGAACGGCTTCTGCAAATACCCCCACGGTGTCCAAGGTGACTTCCTTGAGGGGTAAAGTGACGGAAATCACAAAAACGACGACAGCCACCAAGTCGCAAACGACAACCGAGGAGACGACGACAACAAAGGTGTGTGCAGCTGGAAGTGGTTGGCTGGTTTGGTACTGACATATTCGACTCAATTGTCCATTCACCAGAATGCTCGTCCTGACATTGGTGCTGTAATTTTTGCAGGAGAGGAAGACGATGAAGAAGGCGTCGACCACTTCTCTCCCGGCTCCCATGCGCAAAACCAAATCCATCCAGAACCGGTGGCACTGAGCAACTTTGCAATGCAGTACAGCCTGGACTTGAGCTCTGATGACATACAGATGTAAATGCCATTGCACATGCAATTGGTGATATGCTTGAGTGTGACGAAGATAGGCAATTGGACTATAGGTGGCCTGCCATCTTTGCCATCTTTATTCTTGAGTCTTCTACGTTCGTTAATTCGCCAGAAGGGCCCTTGTCATATGTTGTATATCACTGGTTCACTGTAGCTTTTCACTGCTCTTGCATTTGTTTAGGCAAGGATGCGAAGAGAATTGTATCATTGAGGTGCGAAATTTGTTGCTGAGAAGTGGGCAGCAGTGACAGTGCACATAAATTGTCTGAAAGGGACCATCTCTCAAGGGGACAGATATAGTATTGGGTTTTTTGGTCTATTTTCTTAGGAGTTGTCAGTCGTGTGGTGTAGGATTGTAGCTGTCATGTTGCATCACACTGTAATATCAGACATGTCACAACAAATCTCTTGAGCCTGATGCGAGCACCAACAGATTGCTGTTGTTGCGAGGGACGTTCTTGCACCGAATCTCGGTAGACGGGACCCTCAACGTCTCTGGACGAGATTGTATTTTTGGAGTGTTTTTGGAAGATGAGGGCATGCTGAACCGCCCATTCCTGCTTTGTACGTGTCAGTTACTGATCCAACATTAAGGAATGTGCTCAATCCCTGTATTGATAGCTGTTGAAACGCACATTTGTTGGGCAACATGATGGTGGATAGGCTGGGTCATAATTCGCTTTAATAATCACACTGCTATGTTCGAGTCACCGCAGAATGGACTGTAATGAACAGCTATCTTTGCCTAATGATGCTTGTTCTGGTGCATTCACAACCATGTCCGGTGACCTCACTGAATGGGATGGCTAGAGTATGGCACCACTTCAGTCATAGAGAAGCATTGTTTGACAGTGTTGTAAAGGAGTTTGGACATTCCAGTGCAGATGCCGTTCAGTCCACCGCAAAATGACCAGCATTTCCTGATCCCTTTTGCTTTCAGGGTGACTGATTATGCATAACCAAGCCGATGACCCGCCGCTGGATGGCCCGAGTATGCCACCAGCGATAGCTAAGTAAGTGGGTTTCGGGGGGAGTTAGTAATGACATTAACTATCTTGTTAATATATTTCCACCAAGGACGACGTTGGGTGGGCTGTGCCGAGGATTCAAATCGGTCACAGTTGTATTCAAACGGGTGTCTGGCCCCTCTAATACCTTGGGTCGGCCAAAGTACGTAATTTCCAAGGTGCCGTCTGTTTGGCGCCCTTGGACTTGGCGGGGCTGCGCTAGGCGGCTATTTTAGGCTCCCCCCTCAATCCCCCTCCTATCTTGTTTCGCACCCAACCCTCCCGCCCTAGAGAGTGAAGTTCGGTTGAGTTGAGGAAGAGAAAGGGAAGGTGTGGATGGAAGTACGGGAAAGGGGGCTGACCCAGGGACGAGTCATGGGAGAAAAGTGAAGTGAAGTATGGGCGAAGCGAAAGGGCAACCTGTTAAGTATGGGGACCTCGGGTATGTGCAGTTGTTGGTGATGGACACCTTTGTCGTAATGTCTTGTCGTGTGGGAAACATGACCGCGAGGGTTCAGGAGACTGGTCAAGTGGAAAGAGAAAACTTATCCAAGTCCATGGAGTCTAAAGAGACATAAAAATTGTGGCCAAAAAGATCATGAGCAAATCGAATCTATATCATCAAAAAGCCATGGGTATATTATGCCAATATCATTGTTTGAGCATGCTGAGGCCATGGTTTGGGCGTGCCGGCGCCTCGCTCGGAGTATGAGTAAACGACATCAGAAAGGGGGATATCGTCTAGGACATTCATCCTACAGACATTCATGAGGGTTCCAATCACCCAGACCAACATTGTCACTTCATCTTTGATCAACCATACATCAGATATGCCAAGGTCTGTCATTAGGCTTATCTAAGGCTGCTGTCCGGTTTCGAGCATCGCTAGACCCAGAGCCTTGGGCATGTTGTTTGTCTACTATTGTTGATGTCCACTCTTATTGAGCCCCGCCTGGTCAGTGCGACGGCTTGGGTGCTTCCAGGAAGCTGCTAAGAGGCCATGGCGAACATGATGGTCTACTCATTGGCGTTCTGGCAAATTGTGATCATTGCATGGCTGGAGGCCGGCTGTTGCGGCCCGCGGGCGGCCGCTGGTTTCCGGAGTGTTGGGGGCGGTCGCCGCACCCGATGGCGCGGCCTCGATGCCGCGCCTCTCCGCCGGATTCCGGCGGGCGTTGTCGGGGTGCTCGGTTGTTCGGTAGCGCGGTGGGCCCTTGGGACGCTCGGGGACCTTCCCCGAAGCCTGCCGTGCGCAGGCGGTGGAGTCGCGGCGGCGTTCGGCGGTTCGCTGCCTCGCGGCGGGACAGAGAGGGGGCCCGAATGCGGTTACAGTCTGACACAACGCGGCGCGCATCCAATGTACCTGCGCGATGCCCGGTCGCGGGTCCATCGCGTCACATCAGACATGACAGCTCATTGTAATGTACGGACCGTGTACCAGCGCCCCTCCATCACCTATAATCAACCTAATCTAGCTCTAATTCCAACAATCCCACCCAGCACCCGGCCTCAAAGTACTACGTCTTCAAGAGGCCGTATCTTCCTCCAAACTCCACCGAATTGAGTGCTGAACGAAGCATTGGAACCAGGAAGTCATAATAAAACCGTAGAGAAGGATGAATCAGCGAGATTACGTAATATAACTGCAGAAAACGCCATTAACTGCCTGCCCCCAAGTAGCTCCACAACAGTACTCTCCCCTTGGGGTAGCTTTCGCCCTCGAAAGCATCACTATCCCATACTAGTGACTTCCTCGGGCTTGTCCCTCTTGATCATCTTCTGCAGCTCTCTTGCATAGGTGAAATTTCCAGCCGGTATCCAGGAGGCATCATCCAAGCTCCACCCTGTCCATAACACCAAAAATTCCTTGTGCCTCCTGCCACTGGGGCCTGCCCATCTCCAACGCAGCAGCTTCTCCACATCATATGGTTCATCGGCTTCAACTTCAATCTCAGCATCTTCATCTTCCTGTGGGGATGACCATTTGGACGTTCTGAATGGTCGAAGCAAACTCGTATGGAAGACATTGTGAATCTTCCACCCTTTAGGCAGCTCCAATTCATAGGCCACTGGTCCCACCGGACGGACCACAGCAAAGGGACCCACGAATCGCCTCTTGAGTTTGCGAACAGGTGCATTCTTCAATTGTAGATGTTCGGTGCTCAGCAACACCTGTTCCCCACTGTGAAACCGCTGATCACGCCGCCGTTGGTCGGCTTGGCGTTTCTGTCTCTGTTGTGCCTGTTGAACCATCTGCATCGCCAACTTGAACGTCTTCTTCATACGTTTCACAAAAACATCAACCCCTTCAAGGTTTGTCTGGTCGACGTCTCGTATCAAGTCCAATGGGGTCACTGGTTCAAACCCATAGTTGAGGTAGAACGGTGTATGCCCCGTAGCTGGTGATGCGCTGCTGTTCATCACGAATTCCACCATGGGCAGATAACGCTCCCAGTGTGTGATGTCCTGACTCGCATGGATTGTGCATCGGAGGACTTGCTCCACCACCCTATTTGCTGCCTCCATTTGACCATCTGTCGGAGGGTGGTGGGTACTGGATATTCGCAGCTTACTCCCCAGTAACTTCCAGAATTCTTGCCAGAACTTGGACACAAATCTTGGGTCATGGTCACTGATAATTAACCTTGGGATCCCATGTAGCTTCCCTATGTTGTCCCAGTAAACACGGGCAGTTTCAGCAGCTGTGATAGTCTGCTGAATTGGTACCAGGTGTACCATCTTCGTTGCCCGGTCTATAACTGTCAGGATCCCGTCGTTGCTCCTCTCACTGACCGGTAGACCCATGATGAAGTCCAAGCTGATGTCGCTCCATTTCTCCTCTGGAAGTTGTAAAGGCTGCAATAGTCCAGCCGGGACCTTGTGGACACTCTTCTCAGACTGGCAGACCTCACATCCCAACACATAATCTCTCACATCCACCGTGTGGTCTGGCCAGTAGAAGTTTTGTTGTAACTTCTTGAGTGTCTTGTGGTAGCCTAGATGACCCGCATATGGTACTGCATGTATCTCCTCCATAATCCTTCTGCGGGCATCCTCCACATCCGGCACCACCAACCTCCAAGGTCGCCTGTCCTCTGAATTATCTTTCACTTTAATCTCCAGTAATCCATGACTCAGCCGGTAATCACGATTCCCGATCCTGGTGACACGTCCTTGGGCAGATTCCAACTGTTCCATCACTTCTGCCCACCTATTGTCTTCTCGATAGCCCTTTTTAATGGAGTCCCTCAAGCTCTCCTCCAGTGTGACACGGGCATTGGTCACCAACAAAGAATGTAAAGAATGAAGTGAATGATCTCCCCCACCAGCAGCCACCACTGCTTCCCCAGTTCTCGACTTCTTAAAAATTTCATCGAGTTTCTTTTGTATTTTGTTCTCCCCCTTGTCACCTTCATTCAACTTAAGACGTTGGACCAATGACTCCTCTTCCGCACGCACATCCGCCATACTGCGCAATTCCTGAATACTCCTGCGCGTGAGGAAGTCTGCAGGGTTGTCCTTTCCTGGGATATGGACAATGTCACAATCGTATCCCTGCAGTACCTGCACCCATTTCCAAAACCGCCTGTTGACAGCAGGTTGGTTGGGCAGGTTTTTCAAAGAGTCATGGTCTGTCTGGACGATGAAGTGGCGGCTGGCCAAATAATGCCGCCATTTCCCAACAGCCCAGGTGATGCCCAGAAATTCCCTTTCGTATGCACTGTACCGGGTTTCTGCGGGGTTGAGCTTCCTGCTTTCATAGCAAACGGGTTGCAGCCCGTTGCCAAAGTCCTGTTGCAGGATTCCTCCCACGGACACCTCTGACGCATCCGTTGTGACCACAAATTCCCGCTCGAAATCCGGTAACTGCAACACTGGAGCAGTCACCATCGCTGTCTTCAACCTGTTGAATGATTTTTCTGCTT